GGGGTGGGCTTTTCCCTTTAAGCCGACCTCCATCTCCCATCATAAAATATTTGCTGTTATATCATCATCACACATGTATACATTTTTATGCCTTCTTTAATTTTAACCCCTTCTCTTCCTCACTCCCAACACACTAGTCTTTGCGCTCAAAGCACCACCTGCGTTGCCTTCTTCATTGCTTTGCACTTCCGAAGGTCTAACCTTATCCTTAACAACATATCAATATATGACTCCGATTGCTTCTTACGTCTGTGTGCTCTACTCTACTGTTCATGCTCCTGATTCGATGCATCTCCCACTACCCCGCTATCTATTCTTCAAGTGATAATCACACGCCATTTTAACCGTCCGATTCTTTGTGGGTCCATTAAATAGGATGGCCTACGCCTCTACCCGATAATGCCAATAAAATATTTTACATGCCACCAACTCACTGAGTCTAAATTGTGATGTTGGTGGTCCGATTATAGAATCTTATATGGTCAACATGCAAATGGTCCAAAGAGGATGTTGTTTAGCTTTCGGGCTCAAGGCGGACCCCGCACCTGAGGTTTATCTTGACATGGCTTATCTAGGCCCATGAGAAGGGAGCCCAGTTAGTGTGAGCGTGGGTCCATGACGTGGACCAAATTCGCTTTGGGCCCGTTCGAAAGTCAGTATTGTATTCACGCTTCACGGGTTCTTTGAGTTTGAGCCTTGAGGGCATCGTGGTTCGTGGATGGCGGATGGGGACTGCCTTTGGGGCTTTGGATGTGAAACGTGTCAAACATCTTTGAGAGGACACGTGTTACTCATCCAACGGTTGTGAAAGCTTGCTTATCACCTAACTATAAGTATATTACGTACTCCTGCACTAAACAATACAGTAACTCACTGGACGATTGTGCGTCTCATCAACTGGGACGTTGTGATTATCTTGTTCCATAAACATTAGATTATACAAGTGATGGCGTTTAGTGTTTATTTTATCATTGCAATGGTGGCTAACATACGCCATGTAGGCTCACCCACTAGCCGGAGCCACGTGACATGAGCAGTTCCAGTGATACCACTCTCATGATTCCTTCCTTGCAAGGGCCCCATCCTTTTGCTCCGTCAATTCCGGTTCGGTGCAACTGCAATCCACACCGTCGTGACTTTCCACCTGCCACATTGTTCCGACTTGGGTGCGCATTCTAGTCGCGGTGGCACCGTGGCAGATGAGCTGGAGCCGCTGAAAGGTTTCCACGTGTCCACCTATTCACACTCTTTACAGTACATTGGTTTTAAGACTCTACTATGTCAAACTTATTGACTTGCCTGTTATCACAGAGACTAGGTCATCTGTCATCATAACTTTTTACGACTCACCAGTCGCCACCACTTGATGAAAATCCAGTGGTTATAATACACGCGATGCGATGAAAGAGTGGTCCCCGTCCAAAGAAATTCTTAGATGTGCTGTACGAACCTAGTTCCTAGTTCCTAGGCCAGGGCCAGACCCGGGGAGACTGAAAAACAAAACTGACCCGGTGCCGGTTGCCATAAATGCTGTTACGGTAATCATGTATCGGAAAGCGACCACAACTCCTCAGGGACCACTTTTTTTTTTCGCCTTTGAAGATTGAGCATTTGAATCCGGATTAGATGAACGCTTTAGCTGTGTTCAGCGGGCTGTGGAACCAAAGATGAGGTTCCACGCCAGTAATAAATTCATGGACACCACTGTAAAATGCGCGAGACCCATGTAATTTATTATTGACGTGGAACCTTATCACGGGTTCCACATCCTGCTGAACAGTTAAACCTTACACACCCGCCAGGCGCCAGCGCCGTTCATCAATCAATAGATCAACAGCTGAGATTAGTTTAAGCGTTAAAAATTTCAAATGATTTCCCAAATACTAACTTTTCATCCTGATATAATCAATAATAAACCCTGTTTGGAAAAATTCCAATAGAAATTGAAATTGAATCCATAGTTTTTATCCGCGATAAGAAAGAATAGGAATATGATCGAAATGACGATACTACCCTTGAAGGACCAAACTCCAAAAGTAATCCAAGTTTAGAAGCAAGGCAACGTGTAGGACAGGACCTGTATGTGGGTTATCGTTTGGGTGAAGCGTTTGGTCAGTGACAATAACAATTAAACGATCTGGGTTTTATTCTGTAATTCTGCTTGACCACAATGGCATCATGGCAAACATTTCATTCTTCTGCATCTGATATAGTAAGACAAATAAATCCTTAATATCTAGGAACACTATTTTGGTTCACTTTTTTCAGCTTTTTATGATCAAGTACGAAGATTTCCCAGGTGTATCATAAGGGAAAAGTTAGCCTGTTAATATTATGCAAAGCGTTGCCCTACACCTTTACTTTCATACAGGAGCACATGCTGTTATCTGTGCATCACAACCATTAAACAAATCAGGGCACTGGTATGATTTTAAGTTGGGACATCATGCCGAACCCCTATTTCGCCATATCTATCTAAGACCATCAAAAGGGAAAAAAAAAAGGACTGATCTGATGCTTAAGAAGTTAAGATAAAACTTAAAAGTAGGGCATTCAATCTCCCAGGGACCAGGGTGGAGTGGGGGTGGGGCCATTCGAATTGTGGGTCCGTGTATCCTGAAGAGCCTGTCACTTGTTATGGGCTCTCAGCCTCTCACTCTCTCTCTCTCTCTCTCCCGTAAGCAGTCGAAAATCCAGCCCGTCCAGCGCGTTCTGAGCCCATTAATTCACAATTTACAAATGGAACAGTAATGCTGTACCTCGGAGGCCATCTGAACCCAACCCAAGTATCTCATGAGTCATGTCCCCATGAAGATAGAGAAAACCTAATGCTGTCTGACATCTCGAATGTGACACAATAATATGGACTATGGGCAGTTGAATTTCATCATCGCACAATTGGGTCTTTCTTTAATCTAGTAAACCCTAGAAAATCAGACAATGGGTGATCAACAGAATCAACGGCCGTGATAATTCAAATGGGGTAGGAGAGACAAACTCATGGTGTTTCCTCGTAGTACTGGGCCTATACTTGATCTTCGGTCCAACTGGATTCTCAACTTGACTCCAGTTAGAGTCTGGCAAATAGAAAAAACCTTAGATATCCAAAGTGAGAGAGGCAAGTTGAGATGGTGATGGTGTACGTTTCAGAACATCTCTGGTACTTGTGGATGTACTCCATGCAGCAGCACATCTCTCCCTGGGAAACCACGGCCTCGAGATGTGTGCCACATCTTATTGCCAAAGATGACGGTGAGCCGTGACCGTGTGAGCGTATCTTCACCGCGCACGTTAGAATCAAGACTAGACTACTCTAGAGTCTAGAGTAGTGCAACTGCAAAGGGGAGGCTCGGTCCACGCCTAACATAACGGCATTTACTCCACAGAAAATTCCTCTCCTCTCACGAATGAAGGTTAGTTCCATTCTCTCTCCCCTACCCCCATCAATCGCAGTCGGATCTGCTCCTCACAAATGGGCGCCTCACATATACATCCACCGTGCACTGGGAATATCTTTCATCAATATTCACGAATAAGTACGGGAGATGTTCGTTCTCAATCATCAATCCATCTTCCCTTTTTTATTTATTTTCTTTAATTATTTTATTTTTCAAAAAAAAATCCAAATCGATTGATAATAAATAAACTAATAGCTAAATGACTATTTAAAAAAAAAAAAAAAGCTTAATCCGGCATGCTATAGCTTTCAACAGTTACAGTTGGCGCTTGTAAAACCGGCAGAAAGTACCAAAATCCCTATAAGTAACTTAAGAATACGGAATTAAAACCAATATCAAAATTAAAATGAACAAAATGGAACAGAAAATGAGAAAAAAAAAAAACCAGCACTTTTCTGAGCCACGTGGATTTATCTTTTACGCTTCGTCGTTGCAACAAACCCAGCAGTTTTCTTGACTTGTACAAGTAAGCATGGATCAGTTCCTTGGTATAACCGGATTTAAATACCGAAAATGCCCCTGAGATGAGCGAAAATGGAACACAATGAAAACATCTTTGCAAACACAAAAAGCATTTTCTGGTTCAGGTCGGGCTCATGTACCCAATGAGTCCTACCAACACCCAAAAAATTCTTTCATTTTTTTTTTCGGCTTTATAATTATAAGATGCGTAGTAGGGAATGATATTTTTCGAAGTTACAAAATTGTCCTAAAAAAACTAAAATAGGAATAAATTCGAAGCGGGCAAGACTTGCATGTTACATGTCCCTCTTTCCCCCTCCATGCACACACTTTATTTCGTTTTAATTTATTTCTTTAATTCTTTTTGCCGTTTTGAGAATTACTCTTAATTAAATTTTCTTTTTTTTTTAATTTTTACTTTTTATCAATTATTTATGCTTCTTTGGTTTTGTGTGCCTTTTGGTGGAGGAATGCTTGTCACCTACTCCTTTTAGTTTCCACTCTCCTTATACTTGTTAAGCTTCCCTTTGCAGAGAGGAAGAAGAGAGAGCCAGAGCAAGCTTGGGAGCTCCGTTTCTGTGAGTTCAATGGAGCGACACAGTTGTAAGCTCTGTTTTAAGCGCTTCGCCAATGGGAGAGCTTTGGGTGGCCATATGAGGTCGCATATGGCCACCCTCCCACCTCAACCAAAGACCCAACCTACTCATCCCATCGGAGATGAGACTGAATCTGCCTCGTCTTCGTCGCCATCGTCTTCGTCGTCCTCTTCCGGTGAAGAAGTAGAGGAGGAGGAGGAGGAGGAGGAGGAGGAGGAGAAAGCTCTGTATTATGGGTTGAGAGAGAACCCCAAGAAGAGCTTTCGCTTGGTAGATCCTGAGTTTTCCTTTGCTGTTGATGCCGGGTCCGTCGTTCAAGATAGGGAAAGTGAGACGGAATCGTCGAGGAACCCGTCACGAAGACGATCGAAGCGAAATCGTAAATCGAGCATCGCAGAGCAGCAGCAGCAGCAGCATCAGCAGCAACAGCAAGAGGAAGTTAAGAAGCCCAAGTTAAGCAAATCAAGTAAGGCGGAGTCGACGGCAGAGCCCGAACCGGTAAGCTCGGTATCTGATACTACTCCTGAAGAGGATGTTGCTTTATGTCTTATGATGCTTTCGAGGGATATATGGATGAGGGAGGAGGAGGAGGAAGAAGAAGAAGAAGCAGAGAGATCCATTGAGGAGTCGGATAACTCGGAAGAGCTCAAATTTCCGACTCGTACTCGAGGAAGGTACCAGTGCGGCACGTGCAAGAAGGTCTTTCGCTCTTATCAAGCTTTGGGTGGTCATAGAGCAAGTCACAAGAAGATTAAGGGCTGCACACCATCTTCTTCCCCTGCTTCTCGAACTCATGAACTCGAGTCCGAACTCGGTAATGCAGGCACTTCGGTCGTCGATCGGAGAATCCATGAATGCCCGGTTTGTTTCAGAGTCTTTGGGTCTGGACAAGCTCTTGGTGGGCACAAGAGATCTCACCTTTCAGCTTCAGCTACTGCTGCAAATTCTACTAAATTTGGGGACAATTTGATAGATCTTAATCTCCCTGCTCCTCTTGAAGATGACGATATGAGTCAGGTTGAGCTTTCGGCAGTCTCGGATGCAGAATTCGTCGATCAGATCAAGTGAGACTGAATTCTGCTTTACTTGGTCAGGATTCAAATCAAAGCTCGCAGCTCTGGACGTCAAGTAGAGGTAAAAACTTCTTCTTTTTCTCTTCATTAGTCGATCTGAGATTATCCCAAGCTGCTTTGACAATCAGGAAAAATGGGCTCTCTTGTATTTAAAGATTCTTCTTCTACTTCTCAAAATTTATGCTTTCTTTTCTTCTTTTAAAAAAGCTGTTCTTTTTTTTTCTCTTTTCTGACTGTAATTCATCTCTTTGAATTTGTCAAGTGCTGTTACTTACTTTGTAACAACTGATTTTAGTGCGTCCATTAATGGAAGAACCAAAGATTTAATTTATTCCATGTCTATCTTCATTCGCTAAGAATAGAAAAATAAAATTCCGGGTTCGTTCCATTTGATTGTTGAAGTTGAAGAACTTGCTCTGAAACTACCGCAGAGCTCGATTCTGGAAATGGGCTCTGCTCCTGTTTCCAGCTGTTCTAGGCTTCTAGCTAACCGATTTCCCTTTTCTCTCAATAAAATAATTCTAAGAAAAAGTCCATCTACGACACTTCTATAATCTAGAAATTATTAATTATATAAAACCAAGTTCGACCTGTCAACGCTGGCTTTGTACAGTTGGTGAAGAAGCTAATTCTCTCTTATCTACTCCTTTCCATTCTCTCTTTTTCTCTTCTTCTGTTTCTTTTTTGTCCCATATTTTTTCTAGCTTCTGTTACAAGTGTAAGATCGGATGTACATTAGTAACAGAACCAGCAAAACACTCACACATACCAAAAAAAGAGAAAAGAAAACCAGTAAAACAACTAAAATCAACCCAAAATAGAATGAAAATGAAACAATTAAGTTACCACAATATCCTTAAACAAGTATGCAATTTACGTTCCCTCCTTTTCCAAGTTTGGGAAATCTCAATTGACATTTAGACAATAGCTGACCGAGAATATCAAAATCCCATCTTTCACTGAAAAGCATTTCCTCCCTCTGAAAGAAACGAAGTATCATGACTTGAAACATCAGTCACAGTTATTAAATTGGTAATAAATGAAATAAATGCTTTTCACATTTTAGTTTAGTTTCCTTCTGTTCAGCTCCACAACTCCACAGTAAAGGCTGAATTCCAAGGGCTTTTTAGTCATCTTACCGCTTTTATTAAATGGGTTTCGAATCCTTGTATTCTCTCCTCGACCCTACCTTTGAGATTTATTTGATTTTACGTTCTAGTGTTTTATTTTTGATTACTTATAGTAACGCCCATGACATAGCCAAAGCCAAAGCCAAAGCCAAAGCCACCGAAAGAAAGAAAAAAAAAAATTATTTGATTTGATTTATGATGTATGAGGCAAAGTTCTCTTGCACACTCCAACTTGCCTCAATCAATCAGAGTTACGCATCTTATATATGTAAAGAGAGAAACTATTCCCTGTAAATAAACTATACACAGGGAAGCAACGTCCATGGATCGTGGCCGTCCACTTGGCACTTAATTAGAAAAACCGACGCGAATTGAACTGAACCTAATTAAAAATGTGGTCCAAGAACTGGATGATGTGGCAACCGTTCACGTTATTCGACGTAGGAATTAAGGATAGTAATATTATTTTTTTGGGTTTAGGGTGGTTTCGTTGGATAACACTTAGCAGCGGTAGATTAATTAGAGTTAAGAGATGTGAAAGTGAAACATACTCACGGATTTGAATTGGGAAATATGGGCTTAAAGGGGCAAAACTGACAATTTAATTTCTGTGGGGTTTCGATCAGCGTGATTCGTGCCACGAGTTATGAAAGCTTGGAATAAAGAGGTGGACACCCATCAAAGAGAGGAGAGGACCATGGTCAAATATTATTAAGATTTTACGCACGTCTGTACCATAATTTTAGTATGCTTTGAATTTCTTGCTTTTACTTAGTTTTGTAGTTTGAATTTTGTTTTCCCAAAGACCCAAACCACTGTAAAAAGTAAAAAGATAAGAAAAATAACTGAACAGTAGAAAGGTTGACCAAATTCTTGGGGGGGCTTGCTTTGATGCATTGGTAGGACCGTCCTGGCAGAATTAGTGAACTCTTCATCCTTATAATTCATGAACAGACTGTAGAGCCCCACGTAGAAACTTTGGGTCCATGATTAGCATCATCACCATGCCATGGCGCTATAGACTGCATGTGTCAACAAGAAAAATGACCCAATGGTCTAACCAAACTGGCTCAACCAGGTGCCCTCTGAGGGTCTATTTTCGGTATTCAATAAATAGATTTATTATGGCAAAGGCATGAAGCCTCTCACATGGCCAGTTGACCCATTCATCCGAAATCCGAATGCCTTCAAACGTGAGCAAGCACTAACTAAGGTTCGGTAGCTGCTCCGACAATTGCATATTTTTCATTGCAGCTAAATTAAAGCGCCTATGGAACGAACTACTGGAAGTAACCTGAAATCTCGGATAATCAGAGGGCGCTCGTAGAATCCAGCACTCCAAATAGAAGGGACAGGGATGGACCAGTTTGAATCCCGTGTAGGGAGATAGTGGTCAGCTAGAACCAGAAATACTGAAATTCCTCTCCATAAACGGAGGTAGTGGTCGAAGTACAGGATAATGGAGGGTGTTTTTGGTAATTGCATCCTTCCATGTATTGACCATTACCCGTTTTGTTAGGAGGTATGTCGGACCTTGGTTGGCCCGTCAGCCGCCGGTGGTGGTGGTGGAGCCGTGGAGGGGTTTTGGGAGTTGGGAGCAGCAGATCCCGACTCAGCTGCAAAACCCATCACGCATGTGGGTTGTTGAATCCACCTTTTGGCTACATCATGATCCCCAGTGAAGTGAACCCCACGGCCACTCTCTTAAATCTCAGTCTGGTCACCTTGGGAGGGTAATGTGGCCAAGTCTAACTCGATTCAAAGCTCCATCAAACGAACAATAACCCATTGGCTCTCTGTATTTGACCACGTATTCGGTCCTCGTCAGCTGAAGCTCTATATCAAATGTCTTTTCCCCGTTAAACTCCAGCTGTGGAGGCGTCAATTAATTATTAATTAACTAATTAATTAATAGTGTCCCTTAGTAAAGTGAATTGGTATCAGATAAGAATCATTCCAGTACCATGTCGGTTATGGTGTTGATATCCAGATTCCAATTAAAGGACATGAGATCGAGATCAGCCCCCCTTTATGTGAGGGGACCATCACATATGTATTTTTCGGGATACTATGGCCTTGTATTATTATGATTCCTTTGTTGTGGCTTTAGCGCTTAAGCCATTAACTTCATTCAGTTGAAGTGCACAACATCACGCGCGTTCATAACTCTGGCAATGACGGGCCAACTCCGCGGCTTTACGTTGGAGGCGTTACAACTTACAGGTCGGTGGGTTGTTGAGGAAAAGGATTAAAGAGAAGGTATGAAACAAAGATGAGAGGTTATGACTTTTGAAGTTTTGAGTTATGAATTTCTCTCCCACATTGTCATCAAGTGGGGATGGGAAAACGAGGGGTGAGGGCGTGCAGCCGGATATCCCTTAAATAAAATTGCAATTCTAAGCAAGGCCGGACTACTCCACTCTCCAAACGCGCAATAAAGTTATTCACCTGTTTGATTCGAATAAAAATTGAATGAAATTGCAATATGGATTCCACCTAAGTGTTTTTGAACTGTTGTTGATCCGGATGGTCAGATCGTTTGCCCTGGGAATCATCCAAACAACTGGTTTCATTTTATCTTAAATTCAATTCTTAATCAAAAACCGTTAAATTGGTCAGCGACCTGCTGACCTGAGTAACCGAACCATCAATCTATTTGATTCATTCAACAGTTTTTAGTTGTTTTTCTTTTATTATTATTATTTTTTTTAATTGGAATAGGCCATTCATTCGAACCATCGATCTAAAAATCAGTAGCCAGAACGGTTCCGATTTCAAGTTGATTTTTAAAACCTTGATTCTATCATAATGAAAATCTCAATGCAATTCAATCCGATGCCATTCTAATTCCAATTCCAAGCCCTATTCCTGTGAATCAGATAGACACTAAGGCAGTGGTCTCGTCCACAAGATTTGGTCGTATTCTGCTGGGTGTGGACGCCCAATATAGTGTGGACAGGTCCCATCCACACCCCAATTTTTCATCCACAACAAAATCTCACGATTAGGGACCGTCCACATTTGATTTTTGATCCCCTACTTCACACTTTCCTTAAAAGGCTACCCTATTGTCCATTTCGCATTTTAATATTTTTATTAATAAAATATTAATTATTTTACTTATTTTTTTTTAATTTTAATGTTTTATCAATAAAATTATATTTTAAATATTTAAAACATATTTTTTAAAAATGTAATTATTTTATAAAAAAATTATTATTTATTGGTTAATATTAATTCATTGATGCATTTTTCAATGTAAAAATTAGATATTTATGATTAACTATGTAGGTCAAGGTTTTTGAACCGCCGTTGACCTAGACAGTCGGATAGTTCAGCCTGGGAACTATCCAGGCAAACGGTTCCGTTTTACCCCAAACCCAGTTTTTGGCCAAAAACCGTTGAAAAAGTCAACAACCCATTGACCCAAACGGTCAAGCCGTCAACCCGAAAACCGATGGCTAGAATAGTTCCATTTCCGAGTATTTTTTTAAAGTATTGGTGTAAATCATTCATAAATGTATGAGATACATGGAATCAAAAAGTATAGTGTGAACTGGTTCACATCACGCCTATAGAACGCCACTATGGATGTGGACTGGTTCAGTCCTCACGATTTGTCCATAGTTCAAAACAACTATGAACTGTGGTATGGTGTAAATTAATCCCTACCACAGGATGTGGTGTAAACCAATCGAGACCCACCAATTTTTCATCCATACTATAAATGTGCAATTAGTACATTTATAGTCCACTTCTAGCAATCGAGGCCAATTATGATTTGCTAAATCGGTCTCATCACAGGGTCCCACCCACATGTATAGTAAGGAGATGAGGTGGTGTATCGTGATTGGCTGAAGTAGGCCAAGTGGCTATGCGATTTTGGGTTATAGGGGATGGTGTCAAGAATGCAGTGCGTGATTTTATATGCGGGTTCGTACTTCAGAGAAATCCATAAATATTTGTGGAGATAGGGCCTCTGCCAATCTGCCATCCCATTTAGACAAGACGTAGGCCAGAAAATTAATCTACTTGGTAAAATCAGATTACGGAATTTGGGAACAAACGTACCTGCATTACAGTGTGTCTGATCACGCCCGTGAATAAAATACTATTCAAACCCAAGGAGTTAATGTCTTATACTTTTTTTATTTTCAAGTACTCTCTCTCTCCCCCTTTTACTCCAAAACAAAAACGAGGAAATAA